CACCCGTCTCCTGGGGCACGAAGCGCACGCTGTACACCCCCGCACCCCCCGGCACCACCTCGGCCTCGCGCCGCTGCCCCGATGGGCTCAGCACCTGCGCCGACAGCTCCTGTGCTGACGCCTCACCTGCAGGCACACACCATGTCACCGTGGGCGCCCCAACACCCCATCGGCACCCCAACGTCTCCCCAACACCGTATCGCTAGGGCATCCCAGCTCCTGCACCATCACCTCACCTGCAGGCACACACCATGTCACCCTGCAGGCACCTGGGAACCCCAACATCACCCCACTGTCACCCACCACTGTGCCACCACGGCACCACGGCACCACAGCACCCCATCACTATATGGCACACTGTCATCCTGTCACTGGGGCACCTTGTCACCACATCACTCCACCATCCTATAACCCAGGTGCCCCTACACCCCGGCCCCTCCGCACCCATTTCCTTATCACCGTGTCACTATGGCACCCCAGCACCTGTCACTGGGGCACTCTGTCACCCTGTCACCAGGGCAGTGTCATCCTGTCACCCCAGCATCCTGTCACTCTGATAACAGGGCACTGGGGTACCCCTTTGCCCCATCACCTTCCCACCATCATCTGAAGGGCTCCCTGGCACACTAGCACCCTGCTACCCCACCACCAGGACACCCCTGTCACTGTCATCCCACCACCCTGCCGCCAGTGTGCCCTGATGCCCAAACACCCACCAGAGCACACGCGCAACCCCTGCTGGGTGCACCCCACCCCGCGAGCGTGCCGCCTCACACACAGGACACGTGCACTTGGCAGCATGCACATGCACACATTCACACACAGGTGTGCACACACATGCACCCGTGAGACTGCACACGCACGCTGAGCGCACCCACAGCCCTTTGGGCAGAGCACACACCCCTGTAAGCAGGTGTGCTTGTGCAAAGAGCCAGCATTGCCCCCCACCTCCACACTCATCCCCGTGGGAAGGGCACCCCCCCGTCATCACAGCAGCCCCCACACGTGTGCCAGGGCATCTGCCCCAGCTGTGTCCTGAGCACACGCAGCTGGGCCTTGGTGTAAGCACACACAGCCCTGAACAAGGGCACTCCTGTGGCAAGTGTGCCCAGCTCTCACGCAAGCCCACTTGCCTGCACACCCAGCCCTTGTGCCAGCACGGTGCCCTGCCCACACACCTCATGCACCCCCAGCCCTCGTGCAAGCACAGCTCTGTGCAAACACACATTGGTACTCCAGAGCACCCAGTCCTTGAGCAAACACTTCCCTCATGCACACCCAGCCCTGGTGCAAACAGCCCCCACGTGCAAGTGCACCACCCGCTCGTGCAAGCACGGTGCCCTGCACACCCAGCCCTCAGGCACACTTGCCCCTCGTGCACACCCAGGTCTTGTGCAATCCCCCTTTGCTGCACACCCCCCTGCACACCCCCTACAGCCCCCGCTGCAGGACGCACCCTCGTGTGCGCGCGCAGGGGCTGCAAAGGCACCGATGCCCTCGCGGGTCCCAAAGGCCCCGAAGGCACCGAAGGGCTCCGGGGGCGCACGGGGGAAGGCGCCGCCCACGCGGGTCGATTCTTCCACGTGCACCTCACGCGTGGTCTCGCCGCCACGCGTCTTGCTGATCTCAGTGCGCTCCGTGCGCGTGTACGTGTGGCTGCTGCGCGTGAACGTGCGCGTCAGCCGCTCCTGCGCCGACACCATCTGGAACCAGTTCCCTGGGGAACACCCCACGGGGACACAGAGGGACAGTGCAGACACATGGGGACACGTGGGGACAACAGGGTGCGGGCACAGGTTGGGGGAACGAAAAGGGGCGCAGAGGGGTGATGGGGACACAGGAGGATACGGACAGACATGGGGATGAATGGGCACAGGGATGGATGCAGTGATGGGGAGGAGACGTGGATGGGTGGAGACACGGAGGGATGGAGACAAGGATGGACACAGGGATGTGTGTGAACCGAGATGGGTGGAGACATGGGTAGTCACAGGGTTGGAAGTAGAGGATGGTGCAGGGAGGGGTGGACACAGGGGTGGATGTAGCGATGGTTGCAGGGATGGATGGAGCCAAGGGTGGATGAAGCCAGAAATGGACACATGGACAGACGTGTGAATGGACACACAGACGGACATGTGGACGGAGGTATCAGTGCGTGGTAGCATGCACAGAGGGATGCATGAACACAGGCACACACACAGAGGGACACAGACGTGGACACAGATGCACGGAGGGGAGAGAAAGAAGGAAGGAGAAATCAGACTGGAGTGGCTGAGATGTGTCTCCATCCCCATGGCCCACAGAGCAGGAGGAGTAAGAGGATTAGGATGGAGAAGGGGGAAGAAGAGGAGGAAAAGGGGAGGATGAAGAGGAGGAAGAGGGGAGGATGAAGAGGAGGAAGAGGGGAGGATGAAGAGGAGGAAGAGGGGAGGATGAAATATGCAGAAGAAAAGGAAGAGGAAGAGGAGGAAAAGAGAAGGAGGAGGGAGGGTGGGAGGAGAAGGAGGGGGG